GCAGTAGGCAGTGGGTGAGCAGAAATATGAGACTGATAGAGCCCTGTGTGCCAGCGATAGGAACAAGGACATCAGACAGGTGGAGCTCAGCCAAGCAATTTCCATGAATGGGGACTCCCCAGTGTATTAGTGCCTTAGTCCAAAAAACAGAGTCCGCTCACCCATCCAAGTGCCGTTTGCTAATGCATTGTCCTCCCGCTGCATAGTGGAAGTGTAGAGGCACGCCGTGTAATCATCTGTGGATGAGGAGGTCTGCAAAGAGGTCTAGTGTGTCCAGAGCAATGTGGCCAGGTGGTGAGGCTGTGTGGAGAGGCCTGGATGCCGGGGATGCGGGCGTCATGATGCTGTGACGTCAACGTGTTTCATCCACTGAGTCACGTGAGCTTCTTCAGCCCACAGCACACCGGACACACTAGACCTCTTTGCAGACCTAATTATCCACGGATGACTACACGGCATACCTCTACACTTCCACTATGCAGCGGGAAGACAATGTATTAGCAAAGCAGCACTTGGATGGGAAGCAGAAGGAGCCAAGAGAAGATGGAGAGCAGAAGGAGCCTAGAGAGGATGGGAAGGTGAAGAAGCCTAGAGAGCATGGGGAGGTGAAGAAGCCTAGAGAAGGAGAGGAGAGAAGGAGCCTAGAGATGACGAGGAGGAGAAGGAGCCTAGAGAGGGAAGGGAGCCTAGAGAGGATGGGGAGGGGATGGAGCCAAGAGAGGATGGGGGGGGGGAAGGAGGACCTAGGAGAGGAGAATAGGAAGGAGCCTAGAGAGAGGAGCCCTAGAGAGAGGAGAGGATGGGGGGGGGGGTAGAGAACCTAGGAAATGGAGAATTGGAGAGAAGAAGGGTGGAAAAGGAAGGAAGGAAAGTATAGAGGATGGGAAAGAAACCTAGAAAGGATGGGGAGGAGAAAGAAGCCTAGAGAGGATGGGGAGGAGAAGGAGCCTAAGAAGATGAGGATGAAAGGAGCCTAGAGGGATGAGGAGGAGCCTAGAGCTACACTAAGGAGGGAAGGGGTGTCCCCTGCAGCATCCCCGGAGCCAGAAAGAACCTAGAGAGGATGGGAAGGGAAAGGAGCCTAGAGCCTAGAGGATGGGGAAGGAGCCTAGAGAGGACAATATAGGGAGGGGAAGGAGCCTAGAGATGACAATGGGAGGAAGAAGGAGCCTAGAGAGGATGGGGAGGGGAAGGAAGGCCTAGAGAGGATGGGGAGGGAAGGAGCCTAGAGAGGATGGGGAGGGGAAGGAGCCTAGAGAGGATGGGAGGGGGGAAGGCCTAGAGAGATGGGGAGTGGGGGAGAAGCCTAGAGAGGATGGGGGGGGGAAGGAGCCTAGAGAGGATGGGGGGGAGCCTAAGGAGGAAGAAGGATGGAGGAGGGGAGGGAGCCATAGAGATGAGGGATGGGAGAGCCTGGGAAGGAATGAGCAAAACAGGATGGGGAGGGAAGGAACCTAAGTGGATGGATGGGAGGAGGAGCCTATGTATCCTGGAGGATGGGGAGGGGAAGGAGCTCTAGAGAGGATGCCAGGGATGGGGAGGGGAGGAGCTTAAGAGAGGATGGCAAGGGCCCAGGAAACCTAGAGAGATGGGAGCCTAGAAAGGTATGGGGAATTTAGTATGCTGAGAGGATAAAAGTAAGGAGAGGATCCTAGAGGGTATGGGGAAAAGGGAACCTAGAGAAATTGTAGGCAATTGAGCCTAGAGAGTTTGGGGAGGGAAAGGAGAACCTAAAAGGATGGGGTGGGGAAGGACCATGGAGAGGATGGGAGGGGAATACATTTGAGTAGTTTTGCTGGCACTACAGACTCCATGCAGTCATCTCTGGCATTCAGCACTTGCCATTGTCCTCACTGTGTTCATTTTCTACAAACACCAACCCATAGGTGCCTCCCTCCCAGGAATACAGAACACATTTTCTCAGATGATCCCAGTATTGGACCCATTTAGTATGCTGGACATGAAAGTATTCTGCATCCAACCTTCTGGAAAAGACAAACATATTTCCCCCCCCCCTCCCTTCACTGGGTTGTTTTACAGAAGAACTAAAGGCATTGATTTTCTGGAGAGTGGAGAGGGATTAGACCTCCTGTTGGTTTCTATTGCTGCCTCGGCCTCCTTTAGGGAGATTCAGCCTCTCTATTTGTCCTGTTTACAATTATTACCGAAAGTGATATAAAATCCTGAGATTTGGGGTGTCACCAGAACAGGATCAGGAAGAGGACTCCCTATGACACCATTGTATGTAGGGGGCGCTCTGCAACTAGATTTTACACCATCGTATATAGGGGCAGCTTTCCAAATATATTATTACACACTGTACAGTATTCCTCTCCGCCCTCTACATTGTACCCCCCCGGGACACCCCCCATGTGTACATCTGGAGGTCATCTTTCCAGAATCAAATACCCTCAAATGTAATGGTGACCAATCTGAACCCTCCAGGCACAGCAGTGCACACCCCATTTAATACACATTGTGTACTGGTGGTCCAAAAATCAGAACCCTCCAGGCCCCAGCAGTGCACACCCCCAGATTAATATTACACACTGTACTGGTGGTCCAATCAGAACCCTCTCCAGGCCCCAGCAGTGCACACCCCCAGATTAATATACACTGTACTGGTGGTCCAATCAGAACCATCCAGGCAGCAGTGTGCACACCCCCAGATTAATATGAACACATGTACTGGTGGTCCAATCAGAACCCTCCAGGCCCCAGCAGTGCACACCCCCAGATTAATATGACACATGTACTGGTGGTCCAATCAGAACCCTCCAGGCCCCAGCAGTGCACACCCCCAGATTAATATGACACACGTGTACTGGTGGTCCAATCAGAACCCTCCAGGCCCCAGCAGTGCCCCCAGCCCTGAATTCTCTCCAATGGAACTCTCCAGTGAAATCTCCTCTCATCAATTACTAGCCGGATTCTCTCTATTACCTCCTGTATGTACAAAACTCCCCCAAATCTCTCCCCTCCTCACCATCCACTAGAAATTGGAGGAATTGTTTCTTCTTCCTGAAATCCAGACCTAGAGAGGAATAGAAAAGAACCAACAAACCCCACAAAGTCTTTTTATAGAGATTTATTCCATCAAATCCAAACTATTCTACACATATTTATTCCATGGAATATGAAGAGATTTTTTTCTATCAATAACCATCAAATCTGCGTGTTTATTGGACTTTATTCCCAGCAATAATCAATCAGGAATCCATGCCAGCAATCATCAGATCAATAGGAATGTTTCCAATATCCAGTGATCACGGTTTGATCCTCCAACATAACCAGTGCACAGAATGATAAATCTATCCCATGAAATGGATCTTATTGATTGGTTGATGTCATTTATTGATCTATTGATTCCCTTCTATGATAGAATAGATTGATTTCTCCATGTATTGATCATCCTCTCCATATATCTCTTCACCTTGTCTAACATCATACAAATCCTGAATGCTATAAATCTCAGTCCTGTCCATGAATTGTATGTGACTCGGGTCTTTATAATACCATATACTGGACTGTTACTTCATTCCCTATTTTTATATCGTCTTCTTACACCTGTCCTGATGAAGTGACACTTTGAAGCCATGAAACGCGTTGATGGTGTATTTTACATTCACTTGTCCAGTAAACTCCGACCTTCTGAAGGAAAACATTTCAGAGTTTCCTCCTTTACTATGGGCTCCTCTGCTGACCTCACCCTCATTTTTTCTTGGGGTGAAAGTTCTCCACCGGGATCCAAATCCTGCTTAGTATATGATGATCCGGAATTCCCCGATGACCATGGAGGGTGACCACCCATTGACTTCAGTGAGAGGAGACAGACATATTCTCCACAAGTCCTCAGATAGGTTGTCTGATCCCTGGATGGGTTCCCACAACCTCCCAGATGTGAGTACATGCACCGTACTTCTCCCCATCTTCTAGAACCATCTCCCACCTTCTGGTATCCATCACTACACTCAGTCCCATCTCTCCCATGGTCTTTTATCCTCTTTTCCCGTCTCCTGATGGTTTGGAGGATTTCTACATATTGCTCTCATGACAGGTCTACTTTAATTGTATGCAGAGGGGGGGGGGGAGGAGTACACAGACTCCTCCCAGTGTTGGTTTATGAGGGGGACCTATAGGGTATTCTGCCCTGTCCAATCACAATATCCCCTGAGGAGCCCCCACTGTGTGCAGGTACCCCCCAGACATGAGACTGTCCTCCAATCTGGTCATTTCCTGATAGATCAGATGACAAAGTCATATCTATGAGGGTCTCTGTCATGTCATGTCTATGGGCCCCTTATTGTACTATAACCCCTCCCCCCCTCCTGACCTGTACTGGGAAATATCCGGGCTGTGATTGGTGAGGACAATACTGCTGTTATCTCCAATATTGTTCTATGGGTGGGATTTGTAGGAAGATTCTGTACAGAGGCTCCTATTCATTCACAAAACTGAAGCCCAGGAAACACCCTTTACTATGCTTCAGTGAATGAACACAGGAGTGATTGGTATCAATCATTCACCAAATCAATTTAGGAAGGGGCTGGTAAACATGATATGACAACCCCCCCCCATTCTCCATCCAGCCCAGCTGCAGCCAGTGTGGGGGGCAGGAGGGGAAGTCAGACAGCAGCACTGCACAGAGGGGGTCGGTAGGAGGTCCCAGCACAGGGAGGGAGTTTTAGTGATGGGGAAGTATTTAGATATTTTGATCTCCTTGTGGCACCCCTGCAGCAGCTGAAGCCAGTGGGAGGGGAGAAGAAGCCAGAAGTACCCCGTGTGAGATCTCTGTTTGTGTAGAAGTCTACTTCTGAAAAACATTTCCCACACTCAGGACAGGAATACAGCTTCTCTCCCTGTGTGAGATCTCTGATGTGTGTGAAGACTGAACATGTCTGAAAAAGATTTCCCGCACTCTGTCAGGAATTTGGCTTTGTTCCTGTGTGAGATCTGATGATTCACGCAGACTGGCCTGCTCTGAAAAAGATTTCCTGCACTCAGGACAGGAATATGGCTTCTCCCCCTGTGTGAGATCTCTGATGTTTGCGGAGAATAGACTTCTCTGAAAAACATTTCCTGCACTCAGGACAGGAATATGGCTTCTCCCCTGTGTGAGATCTCTGATGTTTGCGCAGACTAGACATCTGTGAAAAAACATTTCCCACACTCAGGACAGGAATATGGCTTCTCCCCGTGTGAGATCTCTGATGTGTGAAAAGTTTTCCTTTTTCTGACAAAACATTTCCCACACTCAGGACAGGAATACGGCTTCTCCCCCGTGTGAGATCTCTTATGCACATTAAGATTGTATTCTGAAAAAACATTTCCCACACTCAGTACAGGAATACGGCTTCTCTCCTGTGTGAGATCTCTGATGTGTGTAAAGACTGGACTTCACTGAAAAACATTTCCCGCACTCAGGACAGGAATATGGCTTCTCCCCCGTGTGAGATCTCTGATGTTTGTGTAAAGATAGACTTCTCTGAAAAACATTTCCCGCACTCAGGACAGGAATACGGCTTCTCCCCTGTGTGAGATCTTTTATGTACATTAAGATTGATTAGAACAGAAACCCTTCCCGCACTCAGTACAGGAGAAGCTCTTCCCTGTTGGAAGGCCGGCCCGGTCCCGCACAGTCTGAGGTTCCTCAGGATACGAGGAATCTGATGGTCCATCTACACTGGGTGGTGCCGGATGGACATTGGAGGGAGCCGGGTTTTCTCCTGGACTATACTGTGTGATGTCCTCATCTTCTACTTTCCAGTCTGGAGACAAAGTGAGACAATCCTCGGAGGTTTTCCTCATCTCCCGGCCATGGACTAAAATACAAAGACAAAGAGGATTACTAGACAGGAGCTGATTGGTTCCCCCAAACCAGGACTCCGCCCACATCAGGCAGCTTGGTCTCTGAGGAGCTTACAATTCCACCCTCAAGGGAACTAGGAAATGGCTCCTCTGATCTCCTACCAGGTCATTTCTTTATTCATGGACCTTAGTCAGAGAGTGAGGAAACAACCAGAACTGTCTTTTATAGGAGGGACAGTGATGAGGGGATTATAGGACGAGGGTCCCCACCCCCTCTATCACTCATCGCCATCTTTCCAACACAAGAATACTGCACTTCCTTATTTACTTCATGATTTAGTCATGAAGAACAGTGGGGCTGAGCCCCACCAGAGGTCAGAGAGTGAGAGGAAGGAAACAACCAGAACTGTCTTTTATAGGAGGGACAGTGATGAGGGGATTATAGGACGAGGGTCCCCACCCCCTCTATCACTCATCGCCATCTTCCCAACACAAGAAGTACTGCACTTCCTTATTTAGTCCCATGATTTAGTCATGAAGAACAGCGGGGCTGAGCCCCACCAGAGGTCAGAGAGTGAGGATGGGGGGAGAACAACCAAGATGAAGACTGGACTGATCCTGAAGACCACCATCATTGGGGTATTGACTCCTCCCTCATTATCACTTTCTGTTTAAGGGTCCAAAGTTGGAGGATGTTATCACATTATTATCACCATGTAAAAGTCTGTGCTCCAATCACATCATCCGATATAAAATGTCCAGCTGGGAGGAAATGGGTGGAACAAAAGAGAATCCATATTATGTGTATATATAGCAGTTCCAAAGGGGATATGCAAATCAGGAGTATGTAATGTACAAAGATGAGTAATATAGTGCAGGGGTCAGGAGTATGTAATGTACAACATGAGTATTGTAGTGTCAGGGCTCTTTTGATCACTGGAAACAATCTCGGACAACATAGAGTATTAGTGCAGGGGTGAGCCCAATTTATGGGAAAAAATACTAAAGGAGGGGGGTCAGGAGTATGTAAGCAGTACAACATTTTCAGCAATATGGGGGGTCAAAGTATGTAATGTGCAACAAAGAGTGAAATAGTGCAGGGGTCAGGAGAGGTATGTAAACATTCGATATAAAGTGCATGGGTCAACTTATGCGTGATCATACACTATAAGAGATTTAGTGGCAGATTCAGGCACAGACGGGTTGGTGCAACATAGAGTATAAGGCACATTGGGTCAGGAAGATTAATGCCAGATCATGCATCGGATCAAGAGTGCAGCTGGTAAAATCCCATTAAGAGCAGCATAGAGTACATATATTTGAAGCGAATTTAAATGTTAGCCATGCTCTAATATCACAAAACGAATGAATCAAAAGTGCAGGGGTCAGTGCTGTAATGTAAAACATGAGAATAAATGGTGTATCATGATTGAAATATGTGAAAACATATAAGTTAATATTAGTGCAGTGGGTCTAATTATATGAAATCATGCATATCATATTCCATCAGAAATGTGCAATCCTTGTGACAAATGGAGTGCTAATTTTCCCTCCAGGCAAAACATGTAATTTGATATATAAAATTCAAAAGTGGATGAAACAGTGATAAATAAATATAGCAGGGGTTCTATATATAATTTTTTTATTTACACTTTTCATCCACTTTTGAATTTATATATCAAATGGACATGGGTTGCAGGGAGGGAAAATTACACATTTGTCACAAGGATTTCACATTTCGTGATGGAATATGATATGGGACATGAGGGGTCATATAATTAGCCACGTTTAATATTAATTTATATGTTTTCACAAATGTATTTCAATCATGATACACCATTTATTCTCACATTTTATTTATAAGCACATAGCAGGGGACAGGTGATCCATTCGTTTTGTGGAACATATTAGAGCGCAGGTTAACATTTAAATTAATTTCTTATAAACGCACATCAGAAGAGAGTGCAGCTTATTAACCAGCGTATATAGTACTTATACCTTCATAATATAGTGTCAGTGGCTCGCAAGCTAATTTGTTTGAGATATTTGAAGCTGCTGGTGCCTCTGGAGTCCCAGGACATCAAGGTGGAGAGTCCTCCAGAGTCTTACAAACTGTGCAGGGGTCAGTTCTATTAGGGGGTACCACTAACAATGCTCAGTTGCAGAAATGGCTGCATTGGGCAGAAAAATATGAAGACTCATTTTCAAACAGTCCTGTTCACTGATGAGTGCCGTGCAACCCTGGATGGTCCAGATGGATGGAGTAGTGGATGGTTGGTGGACGGTACCCTGTTCCAACAAGGCTGCGACATCAGCAAGGCGGTGGTGGAGTCGTATTTTGGGCTGGAATCATGGGAAAGAGCTGGTCGGCCCCTTTAGGGGGTCCCCAAGGTGTAAAGATGACCTCTGCAAAGTATGAGGAGTTTATGACTGACTACTACTTAGGCAGGTACAGAAGGGAAAACTATGCTTTCCCCAATAAAATCATCTTCATGCATGACAATGCACATCTCATGGTACAAAATGCAAATACCTCCGCATCAATGGCTGTTATGGGGATAAAAGGAGAGAATGTCATGGTGTGGCCCCCATCCTCCCCTGACCTGGTGAATCCTATTGAGAACCTTTGGAGCATCTTCAAGCAAAGATCTATGAGGGTGGGGAGGCAGTTTACATCCAAACAGCAGAGTCTGGGGAGGCTATTCTGACATCTTGCAAACAAATTCAAGCAGAAACTGTCCAAAAACTCAAGTTCAATGGATGCGGACTTGTGATCTGCTATCAGATAAGGGGTTCCTATGTTACAATGTAACGGTCAGACCGCTTCAAATGTACAAAGGACAATGGGGGAAAAGTTTGATTGAAATAGCTTTTGATTTCAGTAAATTTTGAAACTTCCTGGTGGAATAATTTGGAACAAAAAATCCTGTTATCATTAGGAGGTTTGTTCAATAAAATGTGAATTGTACTCTTATAGTTGTAATATGAGAATTCTGCCGACTGTTATGTACATCACCATTATTTAGGGAAATGAGAAAATATCATTTGCATAATAATTTGGAACACGGTGTATGATCTCCAGTATAGTGGAGAGAGAAGTCAGGAGTATGGAATGTACAACAGAGTATATATAGTGCAGGGGGTCAGGAGTATGTAATGTACAACACAGAGTATATAGTGCAGGGGGTCAGGAGTATGTAATGTACAACATAGAGTATATAGTGCAGGGGTCAGGAGTATGTAATGTACAACACAGAGTATATAGTGCAGGGGTCAGGAGTATGTAATGTACAACACAGAGTATATAGTGCAGGGGTCAGGATATGTAATGTACATGTATAGAGTATATAGTGCAGGGGTCAGGAGTATGTAATGTACAACAACATAGAGTATATAGTGCAGGGGTCAGGAGTATGTAATGTACAACATAGAGTATATAGTGCAGGGGTCAGGAGGATGTAATGTACAACATGAGTATATAGTGCAGGGGGTCAGGAGTATGTAATGTACAACATAGAGTATATAGTGCAGGGGTCAGGAGTATGTAATGTACAACATAGAGTATATAGGGGTGCAGGGGTCAGGAGTATGTAATGTACAACATAGAGTATATGTGCAGGGGTCAGGAGTATGTAATGTACAACATAGAGTATATAGTGCAGGGGTCAGGAGTATGTAATGTACAACATAGAGTATATAGTGCAGGGGTCAGGAGTATGTAATGTACATGGACATAGAGTATTAGTGCAGGGGGGGATAGGAGTATGTAATGTACAACAGAGAGTATATAGTGCAGGGGTCAGGAGTATGGAATGTACAACATATGTATATATAGTGCAGGGGTCAGGATATGGATGTACATGATATATAGTGCAGGGGGGATCAGGAGTATGTAATGTACAAAGGGGGGTATATAGTCACATGTCAAGGAGTACATAAGGGGGATAATTCAGGTATATAGTACATGGGTCAGGGATATATGTAAGGTATAATACATAGGTAAAGGGGGATAGTGCATGGGGTCCATGTATAATAGTGCATGGGGGGGATATGATTCCATAGAGTATATAGGGTGGGGGGTATGAGTATGTAACTAACAACATAAGGGGGGATATGATCTGCATGGGGTCACCAAGTATAGGGGGATATGGATAATGTAATAGTATAAGGGCAGGGGATAGGAGTATGTAATGTATAACATAGAGTATATAGTGGGGGATCAGGAGTCCATGTAATAATACATAGGGGGGATATAGTCTCCATGTATAATACATAAGGGGGGAGTATGAATGTCCAAGTATATAGTATATAAGGGGGATATGATCTCCAGTATAATACATAATCAGGGGGATAATGTTCCATGTATAATAATAAGGGGGGATATGAAACCATGTATAATACATAAGGGGGATATATGACTCCATGTATATACATAAGGGGGGGGATATGATCTCCATGTATACATGAACATAAGGGGGGATATGAGTGAATAATACATAAGGTGTCTCGTTATGATCTCCAAGTAATACTGTAAGGGGGGATATGATCTCCATGTTATTAATACTTGTAGGGGGGATATGGTACTCAGCATCCTACGCTCTGTATTGTTCCAATTGATCTCCATGTATCCATACATAAGGGGGGATATGATCTCCAATGTAATACATTGGGGGGTATAATCTCCATGCCATAATACTAAGGGGGGATATCACTGCTCCATGTATAATACATAAGGGGGGATATGATCTCCATGTATAATACATAAGGGGGGATATGATCTCCATGTATAATACATAACTGGGGTCATTGTATGATCTCCATGTATAATACATAAGGGGGGATATGATCTCCATGTATAATACATAAGGGGGATCCTGATCTCATCCATGTATAATACATAAGGGGGGATATGATCTCCAAGTGGTGAGGTAATACATAAGGGGGGATATGATCTCCATGTAAACCTAATACATAAGGGGGGATATGATCTCCATGTATAA